CTCATATACCCCTTCCCCCAATGAGCCTAGTTTAAAGCCCTAGTTTTAATCTCCCTCAAAATGATTAAGGCCTTGTCTGTGCTAGTAGCCCATCCATTTGGCCCCTGTTCCTTTGGTGGTAAATTACAGCAAGCATTCTGGTTAAGGTTGTGTTTTGCACCCATGTTTGCTGTGAGCAGTGGTATGTGATTGCACAAGATATAGAGAAACAGTAGCATTCCCAAGGCTTGTTATGTGCTTGTTAAGGTCTAGTAAGGTATACAACATCAGTACAAGCATGGGAAGACCCTGTTCCTCTCCTTTTTGGTGGGTGATGCAAGATACACTTGGAAAAGGAATCTGCAGTGGAGGCAGCAAGGGAAGGTGGTGAGTAGCGGAGGTGAGGCATTTCTGGGGCTCCTGAGTGCATTTAACTTGGTATCCCCTGCCTCCATGGTGGGTAGGAGACCTTGAGTTTGCCTGTGAGTGTCTTCTTCACAAGGTTGTTGAAATTGCCGGGGACACCTGTTGGGACAGATACAATTACACAGGCAGTCAGTGAGCCACCATAATGTAGTCCAAACCAGCAAGTCAGTTGAATAGAAGCAGAACTGCAAGTTCAATAAATACACTGCAAACACACAGCTTTTCATTTATTGACGCGTTCTCTGGCATTGTCCATACTTGCTGCCTTCTGTTCTGGGAAGAAAGTGTGCTAATGCCATATTTCCATCTTTTGCTTGCAGGAAAAATGTATGCATCTTTTAAGGGATTTGTATAATTTCTTGTCTTAACTAAGATGTGGGTCCGAAATTGCCCCCTGAATCCATCTGCACTCTGAAGGGGGTACAATATTGCATGCTCAGATTTTGAGAGACAAAAATTCCAGGTTTCAGGCACCTGTCCACTAGGCTGTTTGGGCCATGATTAATGACCATATGTAGGGCAGGTGGCTGGGAGGGCTGGAGATTGCTGCTAGCTGCAGCCTGTATAGAGAAAATATCCTGTTTTAAAGGCATCCAAAGCTGCTTTTGATCACAAAACTTTTTATATGTGTAATTCTGCTCTTGTCCTAATGACACGTTTTCTCAAATATTTGGATGCAAATTTTCCTTGTATTATCTGAAATGAACATTAGGGGTGCAATCCTAGCTTGGTTGAAATTGGTGAGAGAGCCTCCATTGTTTTCAGTAGCGCTGGGATTTTACTTTGGATAGTGAGGTATGTGGAAAGAACAGGTATCTTTTGCTTCCCAGCTCTGTTCTGTCCTCATCTCCTGTGCACATAAGTTTTTAAATCATGCCATTCCCTGAGGCATCTGATGTTTGAGATTAATTGTTTAAATCCATGGTAATTGGATACATTATAACAATGACATAACAAACATCCTGAGGATCTTGGAAGCTCATGAAGAAGGAAAATGAACAAGGGAAGGAAACAATCCACCAAGCACTGTCACAACTCCCTGACTTGACTTTCCTGTTTTATGCCCACAAGCCACAGAATTCCCTTTAATCCAGACTGATGCACAGCCTCCTCAAAATCCCAATTATCCTGGAAGTCCACTGCCCCCAAGGCAAAAACTGTCCTATTGTTTGGCCTTTCCTTCTGCCAGGGAGCCATATCTTACTTCAGGGGTGGGCAGAATATGACTTGCAGGCCAGATCTGACTCACTAATTGATTGTAGGGCAGCAGTAGGCTGGATACAACACTGCATGGGACCAAGCCCCACCTGCTTCCACCTGGGGCAGTCTGTGCTGTAGTCCCACCCGCACCTTCTCTGTGCCCACTGGCTCCAGCCCCAGCCAGTGCATGCAGCTTCTCAGAGGAGCTGCCTTTCACCCATGTGGCCGCCCACAGGTGGCTGCTTATCACGCTGGGCAGACAGATAGGGTGGAAGGTGGCCTGAAGCTGGAGTCCTGCGCACTGGGGCAGAAGCCACCTCTGACTGCAGCTTCCCCCTGCCTGAAGTGATATAGCAGGAGCATGAGGAGGAAGCCACTGGAGGCAGGGGGACCTGAGCAGTATCTGGGAGCCTGCAGCAGGAACAGCTTTTCCGGGAAGCTGTGCACAGTAGTTGTGGCTGGGGCAGTGCTGTCGGTACTCCCACCTGTCCAGATGGGTGTGGGCAGGAGAGTGGCACAAGCTGCCCCAGGCAGGAGCAGGTGGGTCTTGTCCCCAAGTGGAGTGCTGCAGGGGCAGCTGCAGGCCATATTTGTTGGGGAGAGGTGGACCACACCTGCATTTGCACCTCACGGCCTGGCCAAGCTCTGCTGCATGTGTTCACTTCCCCCTTCCCGCCTCTCGCTTCTTCCCTCCCCACATCCCCAACCAGATCCCAGGACCCAGCACTCAGGCAGCCCCCCAACACATGCACTCACCCACTCCACACAGAGTATGCAAGAGTAAGACTTTATGTTGAGCTATTATGCAATTGCCTCTATATACACTATTCAAAAAACATAAATCAAAGCAAAAATTATTTTTTGAATTAAAATCCGATTTAGATGTTTGATTTTTAGTATATAAATTGTTAAAATGATATCTTCTAAAAGATTGTATGTGTGCGGCCCTTGACAGCTCACCAAAACTCATTAAATGACCTGCCAGCCAAAATAATTTCCCATCCCTGTCTTACTCTAAAGACCACTTTCATCTTCCACACCCTGATCCTAGCCTCACCATCAACAAACTTGTGGAGCCCCAAGTTGCCCAGCTCTGGCCTCATCTGCAAGCAAATCAGACATCCAAAAGCTCACCTTGCAACCTTTAATTTCAAATGCCAAAATCACCCTGATCCCATCATATTATCCTTTGTCAGGAATGTCAATTATGTGTCCCATGGGCCAGATCCAGCTCTCAGAGCCCCATAATCCAGCCCCTGGTGCTACCCTGTATATCCACATGGTATACTAGCTGACTGCACTGCACACAGTATTTACTGGAGCCAGTCCCAGGCTGTGCTGCACGTGGCACTGCCTGAGGCTGGTCTTGAGCTGAGGTGCCTGCAGCGCTTGCTGTAGTCGGGTCTTGGGCTGTGCTCTGCACATCACTTTCTGGGGCTGGGTCCCAAACTGTTCCACAAATGGTGCTTGCTAGGGGTGGGTTCAGGGTTCTGCCATACATGGCGTGAGCTAGGTCCAACATCCCACACCAGCCTGGGTGCGTGCTGCATGCTCTGGATCAGGCATTTTGGGGTGGGAGTGTGGGTATGGGGCTCATCCAGCCCACGGACTGGCCTTGCACCACTCATCTGGCCCTGGGATAGATGAGCTTGACAACCCTGCTTTACTTGACCTTATTGAGGCCCGTGTTGAGACAGTTTCCATGCATTCCCTGTGTACAGTTCCATCAAGTATCATTTGTGCAGCCTTCTTGAACAAACCCTAAGCTAAAAACAACAACTTTGTATGTGGAAGTGACTACATTTTTTATTTTATATCTGCTTCTAGATCATTCATATAAGAATGTGGCTTTGTGTGTAGTATAGGAATGGTTTAATATTTTAAGTATGGGGGTTTTTTATTTCTTTTCAGAAGCTACATGGAATCTGGAAACTTGAAGTGAAAGAGAAGCTACAAACTCTTTGATAAATGGAAGCCATGAAGATATCAAAGCGGTTCTACGCTTTTGGGATTCTAGCCTGTATAGCTATTTATGTAGCTTATATAAAATGGCACATGGATTCCAAACCAATGTCAGGTGTAACAGATGGGACAACAGAAAACAAGGGAGACAAACTAGACCATCAGACCTTGGCAGCAGATCTTTCTGTGTTTTATGGAATTATGTTTGATGCTGGGAGCACTGGGACACGAATCCATATTTTTAAGTTTACACAGAAGTCAAAAGGTATGAACTCTCTCAGTTAAGGCTGTCACTTGCTTCTCTCCACTCACTTTCCAGAAATGTGTTAAATCTTAGCTGGTCTTCCTTGGGAACCATCCTATTTTTAATTTTCAATGTCTTTGAAGACCTGAGTCTAATTGCTCAAATTTGTTGTCCACAGCTATAATCGTTTACAAAGGATTTTTCTCTTTAATCTATTACTAAAGATGTAAATGTTTGTACTTGTTCTGTTCCCTCTTAACTGTTTTCATGAAGAGCATAATAAAAATCAGTAAAAACTAACAAAAAAAAGCCACCTAAAAACCCTTAAAAAATTCAAGCTTAAATCATAATGTGTTTCTCTGAAAACAGATAGTCCCTAAACAGGTCAGCAATTTCAAAGTGAATTTTGTTAGTTGTACTAGTAACAGAGGCATTCCAGTCAGAGCCTAGAACTTCGAATGACTTAGCTTTGGACCCAGTTTTATGCCATCACACCAGGTGATCTCAGGAATGCCCATTCAACATTTGTACCCCACTTTGCCCATTAGTAAGGCAGTAATCTGTACTGAACTGGGATATTGTAAAAAGTGGTCAGTTAATGTTCATTAAGTAATTTAAGATACTTAGGTGGTGAATCTTATATTATTTAATCCTTAGCATTTATAGAAGATTCCTGAAGTATCATTCAGGTCCAGATTAAGTTGCTTTTCTTGGTGTGTATTGACTCACAGTGAGGGCCTGTGACACCAGTGGCTGGCCAGTTTAGCTCTTAACAAACATTTAGTCTTTTCCAGTACATGGCTGAATGTTGTTCATTCATCTTTTAATCAGAACTGTGCAACTGTATTTTTCCCCCTTTATCAGTTTGTTATTAAGTATCTTATTATTTTATCACAAGGAAATAAACATTTGAATTGTCTAAACATATTGATAATGCAGTGTCCTGGAGTACAGGACAGTTTGAATTCTGTGTTATAGAAGTAGTTAAGCATTTAGGGTGCGAGTGCCCAAAATAGTCACCGTTGGCCTAACATGAGAGTCAGTAATACATTTATTGATTCCAGTAGGAGTACAGTATAGTTGGTACTGAGCTCTTTGGAAAATTCCACTCTTGTTACCTGAACTGTTTGAGAAGTAGATTAGCTTGTACACTAGGAAGGGTGAGGGATGAAACAAATTCTGAGAAGGCTGGGTATTAGCCTTATTTAGGTTCAGAACCCGGGCAGAGCAGAAACCAACTATCCATGAATCATGACTATAAGCCATTAGGAGAAGGGCTGGCTCTGTAGTGAGAGCTGTCTCTTAAAGGTATGGCTCATTTTAATTCCCCTTCAGAGAGGCTTCAAAGTACTCCCATGAGCCTTGATTAGCATATGATGTGGTGTAATCTGCCAAATTTTCTTCTGTCTGTACATCAGCATTCATCTCTTTCATCTTGATTACTGCTTTGATACAGAAACTCCCAAATTAACCCATGAGACATTCAAAGCATTGAAACCAGGACTGTCTGCTTATGCTGATGATGTTGATAAGGTAACATTTTTTAGCTATTTTCTTATAAAAATATGTTTTTGATGGAGATGGAAGATAAATTGTGTGTTGTGTATGCTTTGCAAATCAAGTAACTTCCTACTATAGCAGGCTTAGCTGTGAATAAATGCAAAGACCACAAAATATATGTCTTTCTATACTTGGCACATGGAGCATCCTCAAAACCCATACCTTAGAGAATCAATATACAAAGCGTAAATATTTCTACTATATGCTTGCTTCAGTTAGCATAGTTATGTTATTCAATCTTCTTGTCTTCCTGAACAACAAAGAAGAAGAAGAACAGTACTGCCCCTCTTTCTTCACTGTTACGTGTAAGTGGATATAGGAAATTAATTGATGAGATAAACAGCCATTTAGGCCTCAGTTCAAGACCGCACTCAAGCATATGCTTAAGTTCCATTGACTTTGTGGAACTGATACATGCTTAAAGTTAAGTGCCTGTGGAATGAATTGCTGCCATGAATAGGGATTAGAGGTGCACCAATGCATTGGATATTGGATCGGCACCAGTATAAAGAAAATTGATTGTATTGGAAATCGGCCTGATGTGACTGATAATTTGGCCAATAAATGCCCCGTGCATGCACGCAGCCACAGCACAGCACTTAGGCAGTGAATAGCACCACTGAGCAGCTTGGAGAGCTGTGTGTAGCTAGTACGCCTGTTGTGATGGAAGAGGAGAGGGAAAGAAGGGGCATGGGGGCGCAGATCAAGGCCCCTGCGGTGAGGGAGGGAGTGGGGCAGGCACTGCCCAGCTGGGAGGGCACCTCCAGGAGGGCATGGGGGGTGCGGGGCATATGCCTGGTGGGCTGGGACCGCACTAGGCTCTTCCCCGCACGTGGAGGTTGTGCTCGGAGCTGCGGGACCATGCTTGGGGCTGCGCTTCCGGCACATGGGGGCTGTGCTTGGGGCAGGCAGTGGTGCTGGGGTGGGGGGCTATGGCAAAATTTGGGGTGGCTGCAATCCCCCTCCTAGCAACACCCCTGCTTGGCCCAAGCGCAGCCCCCATGTGCTAGGAGTGCAGCCCTGAGCCCAGGGGTGCGAGCAGCAGCAGGAGCTGCCTCTGTGGATGAGCCACGGCTCCATCCAAAGCCCTGCCCTGCCCCAATTAGGCGGAGCCCACCCCAGCCCCACTCCCTCCCTCCCTCACGTCAGGGGGCTTGATTTCCCACCCCCCCGTCTACCACAACACACTTACCATCTGCAGACAGCTGTATTGGAAATTGGATTGCTATCGGCCAATATACCTCCTTAAAAATCGGCTATTGGTATCAGCCCCCAAAATTTCTATTGGTGCACCCCTAATAGACATGGTTTCTTAGTGTCCTTTTTTGTGTGTCTGCCTAAGATTTTCTGTAGACCCAGTCTGTATTACTTTTACTTTACCCACAGAGTGCCCAGGGAATACAAGAACTTCTAGATGTAGCCAAGAAAGACATTCCTGTGGAATTGTGGAAATTCACTCCTTTGGTCCTTAAAGCAACAGCTGGTTTACGGCTGCTACCAGGAGAAAAAGCTCAGAAATTGCTGGATAAGGTAACGCTTTTCATTCAAATATAATTTTTCAGTAACTTCAAAACAGAATTTAGCACCCTGAATGTTGCACTTATGTTTATCTTCCATGTGGTTCCCAGTCTAATGTACATATTTCTTTTTTGTTGTATAAACTGCAGAGCAGCATTAAATCATTTGGATTTCCATATAATATACAGGTTTCCCTCAATTTTTTTATGCAGGTTCTGTATATGCAAATTTGCTTTTATGCAATGAGCATTTTTAGACCCATAATTCATTATATGTGAGGTAAATTCGCTCTTGTGTGATCGGCATAGGCACCCCCTGCCCACCCAAGCAGATAAGTCTGTGAGGGGAGGGGAAAGGGCCGTGGGGCCAGGGCCCCACTCACACCAGCCCCTGCTGCAGCAGCCCTGGGAGTGGCCAGCGCCAGTTGCCTGCAGCCACTAGGCTGCACCATGCTTCGCCTGTCCCCCCACGCCTGGGCTTTGCCTGTGCCCTCTCACTAGCTGCTCCCAGGGCCAGTGCAGCAGGGACTGGGGTGAGTGCCACTCTGTTCCCTCCGCTTTGCTCCCTTGTGCAGACCTGGGAGCAGGACCCCTCCCCCTGCCCCTTCCCTAGTACCAGCCTCACTCCCTTCCTCCCTCACTGCCTTGGGAACATATCCCTATTTGTTACATTATGAAGTGGGTTCACTTTATGCAAATGCGATGTATGTGCTCTTCTCTTCTCTGGGAACGCATGTATCGCATAAATTGAGGGGAACCTGTACTGTATCTGACCATTGCAAAAGTGCGTAGCAAGCATTATTGGGTACAGAGCATGGGGGGGTCCTGAACATCATTACAAGAGGAAGGAATCCTGTTTTTGAGTTGCTGCTTCACTCCCCAGACTGAACACTTTATCTCTAACTCAGCCCACAACAGGGAGGAGAAGGGGAGAAGTAAACCCCTTCCTAGTGGCAAAAGTCTTAATGATGTGATGGGTGGAGTACAGAAACCCCATATGGGAGAAGGAAAGGGTTGATTGACTGCTCTGGACATCCAGATTCTTCCTGTAAGTGACAGTCTCAGAGAGGGGGAGGCTAAAAGGGGGAGTGAACATATGAGTAGGTGACTGGCCAGGAAGAAGAAATGTTTTCATGAAAGTGTATGCAACAAGGAATTGCTGTGTCACTCAATGCCCAGTTGAATTTAGTGGAGGTTGCTGCAGAGTTTCCATGCAGTTGCATTGGTAGGTTCTAAGGTCCTGCTACAGTCTGGGTCAGAGCATCAAGGCTGTTGTTTTGACTTCTAGCCTGTGCTTTTGGAGCATTACTCTGCCTGTTAAAGAGATTTGCACCAGAATGGGATTCTTGAAAGTCACGTGTGGTGTTCCCCTGCTTCCTTCTGTACACAGTCCTATGCCAGCTGTTTTATAGTCCCTATCCTCCTTGCTAAAGCAGGATACACTGGATCGCCTTTGGGACCCTGTCAGTGTTTGTCTTGTTTGCATGGACATACTATAGCTAAGCAACACAGAGCATCCTTTTGGGTTGAATCCACTGCTACTGAAACATTCCCACGTAGCCACTACATCCTCTGTTTCTGTGGGTCATGGTACAAAACCACTGAATAAATCAGTGCCCTCTTTGAAAACCCGAAAAGTATTTCTTGCAAGCCACATCTCAAGAGCTGCTCAGCTCTTGATACTCTTTCTGATTTCAGAGGAGGTGCTCAGCAGAACTCAGGATTTGACCCTGGGACGTTAAAAATGATGCAGATTAAAAAATAAATATAAGATCCCTGCTGTCTAGCAAAAGGGGTCCTCTAATTTTATCTTTTATTTAAATGTAGGTAAAAGAAATATTTCAGGCATCTCCTTTCTTCGTGAGGGATGATTGTGTGTCCATAATGAACGGAACTGATGAAGGTAGGTTGAGTTTCCAAGGTGTTCATGGTTAGTAAGGACCATGTAGAGCAAGGCTTTGACACCCTTGCCTCAGGACCATAATGGGATATGCCAGCACATATTTCTGTGCACCTGCAGCATCCCCTTTGACTTCATTGGCGATCCACATGGAAGGAGGTGTTCAGTTTTAATGACTATATCTTATAAAACTGGGCCTAACAAAAAGCTTTTGGCCCAGATTTTCAAAAGGGAGGCCTTAAACTTTGCCACCTAAATATGTGGCTTGATTTTTAAAAGTGCTAAACGGTCAACAACTCCAGTTGAAATATTGGGAGCTGCTAGTCCCATGGCACTTTTGAAAATCAGGCACATTTATCTGAAAAGCCTAGATTTAAGCTCCTACTCTTGAAAATCCAAACTTTTGAATTCCTTTAAATAGCCTGTTGAAGTCGTTATAATAAAATCCAGTTATAACTTCTAACTGTACTAAAATGTTTTTAGAAGGATATTTTATTTTAATTGTGTGTGTGTTAAAGCTGAAAAGCTGTTAAATGGAAGGGGGAATGCAAACTGAGGTTAACTAGGCAGAAATGAGAGAGGAAGGCTGAGGTCAGGTTAAAGAAATATACCAAATTCTTAATAGCCCATTGTGTGTTTTGCTTGCTGTTATAGCCTGTTAATTTTTCTCTTAATCATGGGAAAAAGTACAGTAGAGAATTTTTAAAAGTGCTTGGCAAAAGTAGGAGGATAAGTAGAGTCTTAGCATTTAAGAAGAAAATAACCAAAATGTATTGCATCTAATACAATTGATGCAGCTCTCCCAGCAGACACGGGCTGTAGGACAGCATGAAAGGATTGATTTCTTGATATTTGAGCCAAGAAATGAAACCCCTACAGTAAAGCTTTCCCAATTTTTTTCACCAGTGTGCTTGTTCTATAAAAAGGTTGCCAGTTATTTAATTCATAAAGACTCTTTGCCAGTGTTACAGGGAATATAATGCATCATTGCTAAATGTAGATGTCCATTCTCTGTGGTTAAGGAACCTAACCTAAGTTTTTTAAGATGATTGGTTTTCATAGCTATGGTATTTTTGGAGTGTGAAGCATTGCAAATCAATGCAAATAAGCCTGATTTTCCTAGCTGAGGATCTGACACTTAATTTCTAATTCTAAACCAGTTGCTTTTTTGAGACTTTGCATTAGATGTGAGCCTGTGACCTGTGGTCTTTTTGCTTCTTGTCAATGCCTCAAGTTGCTCATCACATAACCTAAAATCTGATGCTAAACTGCTGAAGAAGATAAAATACCTCTGGCAAAAAAGGGATCTAAAATAGGCAGTATTTTTATTGTGCGTCAGCTTATTTGGTGCTGTTTTTAGATGTGGACCGACTGCATTGTCTAAAGTAATGTCTTTTTTAAAACATTTTCTTGCCAGGAGTGTCAGCTTGGATCACAATAAACTTTTTAACAGGTACGTTTACTGGGAACGGGGTGTAAAGTGTAACTTTGCTTGATGCCTTGATGTTTGTATGATTCCCTGTCTCTACAGTGCAGTGAGCTTCCCTTATGCTTGGCTGTAATTGAGGTGAGATGCAGGTGAAGGGGGCAGTGAGTCAGCAACTGTGTGCTTATGGGTGAAATCCTGGCTCTGATAAAGTCACCGGGAGGTTTACCGTTGACTTGCATTGGCTGAGGCATTCACCCTTTTAAGTGTTTACATGCTCCTGTTCCTATCTCCCTTGAAAGACCAGAA